GTATGGTTGGAGGAGGTGGACTTTGGGAGTGTGATGTTGAGGTATATATTTTGTATCTGGTGAGTGGAGTCTCTCTCTATTCTTCCTAATCATCATGTCTTGAGCCACTTCCCTCCACCACACTCTTCCACCATGATGCTCTGCCTCACCTTGAGTCCTGAGGAATGAAGTCCACTTTCTATGGACTGAGACCTCTGAAACCATGAGCCCCCAAGTAAATTTTTCCTCCCCTAAAAGTGTTTTTGTCCAGTCTTTTGAACACAGCAGTGAAAAAGCTAACTAAAACAACTATCTACCTGACTGGAAAGTAATTGTACCAATAATAGAAAATTCAATCAATTTAGAAGGAAAATATGGAAACACATACACACATATATGTCTGCATATATTTTTTACATTTAAGTAATAAGATTTCATGAAAAGAAAAATAAACAAATTATTATTTTTCTTCTAATACCATGTATTTACATATAATTTATTTTCCCCAATGTATCAATTACCTAGATATTGTTTAAGTTACCTAGGTATCAGCTAATTTATTGTTTTCTTTTCTTGAAGTTGTATGTGAAATAACCAGAATAAGTCCTAGACTCACAGTTTAGGTGAAGTGCCCTTCCTACTCACTCCAAATCATCTGAATTCATTGACCAACTTGTTGCAACATCTCTCCACAGATTTACAGAAGTCTTTTGACTGAGAGTCAGCACAATGTCCCAGATATACCTTCCTGCCCAGTACTAGTGCGGTGTTTCATTCCTTCAAACACCTACTTTTTAGTAGATAATAAATGATTTCAATCTGAATAAAAATTAAAAGTATCCTGCCAATAAAAGCCAGCTAATCATGATCACATTCAGAGATTATGACTGCAACTGTTTAAAAGTATGTACATTTGATAATAAAGTAGACTGTAAGAAATTGCAATTTTAAAAATGAATAGGTGGGAAAATGAATAAGTCAAAATTTGAACTCACAAGAATGTCAGTTATTAAGTATCATTGCTAATGATCAATATTATCTAATCCTGTCCAAAATATGTAAGAAAATAAAGCTGCCATCATATTTTTCCTTTTCATTAATAGGTAGTCTATATTCTTGACTATTAATTTTAGCATAACTTGCTTTACTGTCAATGGGGACATTATTGCTCACAGTTTATTCAGAAAGCAATGGATCTAGTTTAAGACTCTCATACTTGGGCCTTAGCTGATTCTATATGATATTTGTTTTTAAAAGGAAACATTATTTATATAGTTAACTGGGTTATTCAAATGCAAAAATGAGATAAAATGGAATAAGCACTCAAATGCTCCCCTTGGAGCACTCCAGTTTTATTTGTAGTTTGGAAATATATATGAGAAGGCATAGTCCTCTTCTCAGTACAACATACCTCATACAGACTGTTAAAACAAGTAGCTCTCCTGAGTGAAAAGGTATAATTAGAATGTTTGGAAAACATTTAGTCCAAATCTTAAAATACTGTGTCAAAGTAAAAAAGAAAAAAAAAAGCCCTACTAGGCATTTATTCTATTATTTTATTTAAAATACACAAGTACCACTTACCTCAAGCTATGATAATGGTCCCATGCTACATCACTGTGTAGGCCAACAAACTCTCCAAAGTTATAATTATACTGTGAATACTAAGAAGTATTTGCAATATCTGGACTGAGAAAAAAAATTAAAAATACCAAGATTAAGAGGTAGGACTGTGAGCTTTTATGTTGTTTCCCACTCTCTTTCCATGTAGCAAAGGCTTTTTGACTTCTCAATTTGGAAACTCAAGGGTTATACTTGACATTGGTATCTAATAGCCACAAATATTAAATACCTAATTGGGTATCTAATATTTGTGATTCCAGGACTATGCACTAAGGTAACTTTGCAGTGATAAGTGGACTCATCTGTCATGCTGTGGGCTATTTTAAAATTTCAAGGTAAATACAACAAGGCTCAACATCTATGTATGAGTCATGTAGTCAAGGTATTTCACAGTTTCAACATTAGTGAGGGCTACATTCCTTTTGAGGACATCATAGCTGTGTGAAGTTCCTCTCAGCAGGTGACGTGATAAAATAAAGTATCTCCTGAAAATCCACATGGAACAGGTAATAAGGTTCCCAGTGCTTAATCTGATTCCAAGGTATGAAAAGTAGTAAAGTGCCTAACCTATGCATACACCCTATTCATAAGTAATTAGTAAATAATTTCAGAATGAATTAAGGTATTAATTTCATTTTTTTTCAATTTAGGTTATCAGAACATAAATATTTATTAGGTTGTTTGGCTATAATTATTTAGTAATCAAAATTCTTGATACTTATTTGTTGGCCTAGTGAACTAGTCCATTTCTGAACTGCTAAAATTCTAAGAATTATATGTACTTTTCTGAAAACAAAACAGAACTATTTCCCTGTAATTAGGATCATTAACCAAATCAAACCTGAAGGAGAATTTGTGTTATGCAACATACTAATCAATTTCTCACCTGAATCTTACTGTTAATTTTGATATTTCTTTATTCTTCTTTACTTTCCAGCTTTTGCTAGATTTATGGCCAAACATTTAGAGTCACTGGAGCTTTTCTATACTATGGTTCTGAGTTTATGTGTAAATCTGCCAGGTAGGTAAAGCCTGGTGCAACAATGTCCTGATTGTGGAACCACAATTAAGCCCTCCTGGAAAGAGTCCAGAGCCCACTTTCCTTACATGCACTCTACTCAGTGGCTAATGGTGTGATTTTAGTGTTTCTTTTAAATTCTTTTCATTGTAAATGTGAGACAAACAAAATAAAAAACAATGTTTTCAAAGTTTTAAAACTGTCTAACTTGGTTATAATACTTAAAAGCTTCATTTCAACATAGAACTTTCTTCAAATGCTAAGCCTACATGTTTAAACAGCATGGTACCAGGACAAAGAAACACACACACACACACACAAAGGCACAAAGAGGTTATCTGATTACTGAGACTGAAAGGCAAATAAAGTAAAAAGGAAATTGCTTCGACAACCTTATAGAAAACTGCATAGAGAAAATAAAACAATGTTATTAAAGACAATTATTCATTCATTTATTCTTTCCATATTTTCCATTTTATATATTTAGTTATTTATTCTTTTTTTTTGGGGGGGTACTGTATAGTTTGTCTTCTTTCCTTACTTTATTCTTCCACTTTAGAAATCTTTGCATAAACCAGATAAACTTCTCCAAGTTTATACATAAACAAATGGTTTGTAAAAATTCTTTCTAATCCTAAACTAAGAAAAATAAAAACAAAAACAAAGCAAAGGAAGAAAGAAACAAAATCAGAGTGCTATCCTAAGAAAGAGTAATGATTGTTTTCAAAATCCTTTCCAAGAAGTGTATAGTGCTTAACCAGAGAGGCTAATGGTAACACAGCAATATATTTCTATATTGGTTAAAATTGAACAGCAAAATTAATGAGAGACAAAGGCACACACACACACACACACACTGTGTGTGTGTGTGTGTGTGTGTGTGTGTGAGAGAGAGAGAGAGAGAGAGAGAGAGAGAGAGAGAGGGTGGAAGGGAGGGAAAGAGGAGGGAAAGGGTAATCATATAGCTACACAATTTTTTGTTTATTTGAATACTATTCTTTCTATATCGTCATAGCATCTTGTACCAGTGCAGGTTTTTACATTGATTTTTTTTCCTATTAAGTTCATCATAATGACCTTAAGATTCCATACAAGTGTAAGATTTTATATTGAATTTTGCCCAAAGGATATTAAGAAATCTTTAAATTCCTATTATAAAGTTCTAAATTTTAGAGTATCTAAAAAATAATGAGAGATTTTTCTGACCATGCTTTGATCAAAATAATGAAAATGTTCACAAAATTTGCTTTCAAACAATACCTCTTACAAATGCATCATATAATCTGAGATGTTTTCTTAATTTTCTAATTTTAATAAGGGTTAGTTGTCTTGTAGTTTCTATGGCTGGATATATAAAACGAACACTTTTAAATTTCATAGTTATTGATTTTATAATCACTTTACAATTTTTTGTTTGCTTTATTAATCTTTGCCACCTTTATCTCTTCTTTATTTTTTAAAATTACCACACCTACACTTACTTATAGGATAGTGTTTGCTCACAGAGTGAATGTTCTTTGATCTTGGGTCTTATTTCACCTACTTATTAGACAAATTTTACCACAGTGAGTACTTAAGTCATGATTAAATTACCTTTTCCTGGTTATTAGAGTAAGCCCAAGTTGTAAGTGACATGATCATTGTCAGCCATAGGCAAGAGAAAGCAACATAAATATAATTTGATCTCATATCACCAAATTATATCATTGAGTAATCAAAAGACAACATTATTTTTTCCCCAAAAGGAATAGTTTATAATCTGAGTACAACTACATACCTGGATTGTATAAGACAATTTTGCAATGATGAAAATGATCTTCGGTGGCTAAGTGCGTAAAAGAAACTGAGAGCTATTTATTATGCCTGGCAAATAGTAAAACAACAGAAAAGTAACAGAATATGCAGTCTGATGTTTAAAATAGTCAATAATAATTTAAGAATAAAAGAAAATTCTTAAGATTATGTATTAGCAATATGTTTTTAAACACATATTGGTATTGACTGGCGATTTATAACCCAATGACAATATTTTAATGTACATCAATAACAGAACCAAAAGCATTGTAATGACTATGTCATTAATTCATTGCTTAAATGAATAAGTGTGATTTCGTAGCAGAAACATAATAATCTTTTGTTTTTAAGATTTCTTGGGTTATCATATCTAGAACAAATGTTGCATACAGTATGTGAATATAGATTATCCAAATTTTCTCTTAGCCAACTGACAAGGAGATTCTCTCCTTCTATCATCTCATCCAGAAGAGTCTGTATTGGTCACAGTTTTTCAGAGAAATGGAACCAATAGGATATCTATCTATCTATCTATCTATTTATCTATCTTTCTATGAGTGAGAGTTATTACAAAGAATTGGCTCACATGACAATGGAAACTGATGAGAATCCCAAGATCTGCAGTTGACCAGCTGGAGATCCAGAAGAGCCAGTAGTGTAGTCTTAGTGCAAAGGCCTATGAACCAGGAGAGCAGATCTTGCAGTTCCAGTTCAAATCTGAAGGCTTGAGAACCAGGAGAGCCAATGTATAGTTTCACTGTGAGTGCCTGCAGATTCCAAAACAAGGAAGATTAGATGTTTCAGTCCAAGTCAAAAGAAAAAAAAAAAGAAAAGAAAAGAAAAAGATAGCTCAGGTCAGTCAGAAGGAAATTCACACCTCCTTGGGGGTGGATGAGACTTTTTGTTCTCTTTAGACTCCTTGGATGGGGCCCTCCTACATTAGGGAGAGGAATCTGCTTTAATCAGTCTACCAATTCAAATGTTTATCTCATTCAAAGGGATCCTCACTGACATGTGCAGAGTAATGTTTGACCAAATGCCTGGGTCCCATGGCCCAGTCAAGTTGACACAAAGCTAACCTTCAAAAAACCCTTTTGTACTGCGGTTTTCAGCATTAAAGTACCTTACTGCTTGGTCCTTACCACATAATTTTCAAACTACCAAATCTCCTGTGCCTGCTGATCTGAAGAAAGTTCAGATGTTACAGACAGCAGAGAATTCCTAAGCTCTGAACGCTGCCCATGCAAATTTTCTTAGGACTGTTTGGGACATTATATTAATTAAAAACTTATGGCAGGTGATAACATTTACCTTTCAAGAGAATCCTTACATATTTTATTAAAATAAGAAAGTTGGAATAAAGCATGGAAATTCCCATGGAAAGGAGACTCATGGGAATGCACCCTTAATATCCCATCAAGCCTCACACAAATCCTACCATGTGGGGGGTCTGTGACTTTCTCTACACCAAGGCTGAACACACATTTACTTATTAACACTTGAAAAAAAAATGAGCATGTATGAAATGCACTTGCACAGTTTGTGATTTTTATTGCAAATGAAGTAATGGTCAGGATGGCAATGATTTGAAATACAGTAGTATAGATTGTTTCCTTGGTTTTAGGGAACTAGAAATGCAGTATAAAGTACACTCCATAAATGCCCAGAGAGAACCATAAAACTGAATAAGCTCATTGACTAAAATATAACACAAGGTGATAACTTTAGGTTAGCCTTAAATAATAGACAACCGTAAAAAATAATTAGGTATAAACATGTGATCTAGAGAAGAGAGCAAAATCTCTTTTCAAAATATATGTGTAAATCTGAAAGGAATTTAGCTAAAGCATAGATTTACTTATTTTAAAAGAACTTATTTTAGAATATAGAATAGCTTGTAGTTTTACTTATAAGGAGTTGTACCATGTTATTACTAGCATCTCTCTTTGTGTTTTATCAGATTGACTGCCTTCAACAATTATGTAATAACCTTTCTTCTGATAAAAATAATTTTCCAAAATTGTATCATAAAAATGTTTGCATATACAGAAAAGTTAAAGTGTGCAGTAAGCATGTACATACCCACTATAGATTCTACAATCAACCTTTTTCTATATTTCTTTCATCACATATCTATACATCCCCATCAAACTATCTTATTAAAAAAATGATTTGTAAATATAAAAACATCAGTATACTTTACCCTAACACTTAAGCAGGACACACATACTTTTATTCTTTCTTATAATTTAAATACATACTTTCTGCTGAAGGATAACAATAATTAATAAAATTCCTATCTTACTGTGCCCTCAGTCCCTGGAAGCTTATTAACTCCCTCTGAGCTTAGTGCTTCTGAGAATACAGTCTCAGTTTTAATCTCCCTGATGGACTGGTTAGTTGTTTTCTTTTCTGTGGGTATATATTAAAACCCTAGTAACAACTGGTCATACAGAAACTTAATGCATTTCCAACAAGGGAGTAATATGTAAGAGTATCTGACTCCTTAGTTATAAAAGAGTCAGTGAATAGGCCTAACTGATGAAGTTAATTAAGGACATTTTTTATTTTAAGAGTACTGGGGGTTGAACTCAGGGACACTCAATGACTGAGCTACATCCCCAGCCCTTTTTTGTATTTTATTTAGAGACAGCATCTCACTGAGTTGTTTAGCACCTCACCTTTGCCATGGCTGAGGCTGGCTTTGAACTCGAGATCCTCCAATCTCAGCCTCCTGAGCTGCTGAGATTATAGGCCTGTGCCACTGCATGTGCCTAAAGATACTTTTTAAATGATTTATTTTTAAGATTGGTGATTATGAAACAAATTAATTTTTTGAACAAAGATAAAGAAACCATAGCCTAATTACCTTCTAGGCATTGTGATATTTATAGATACAAATATTTTCTTTTATTTTAAATATTTATTTCTAATGGGGATTAGCTCTTCAACAGAATGCAATTAAAGTATCTAATAATATTACCAGGGTAATCTTTGTACCTATAAAATAATAACAAGTATCCTGATTTATCTGTGAAGAACTGTGGCACCCTAATCAACAACAATTAAATGCTGAGTTGTTGAAAATATGAATGAACAATATGACTTACATCACACTTATGCAATTCTCTTTATTACATTTGATGTGTTTTTAAACACAAATATACCAATACTTTTTCAATTATTTTAATTTCTTCTGAAAATAGTTTTATCACCTTTTCCTTGTATAAATATTATGTGTATAAGTGAATGTATATACATACATGTGTATATATGTATATGTAGACACACATACAAACTTAGAAATGTTACAGATAGACAAAATAAGATTATAATATAATCTCATTACATTGTAAGATAAGTGATTCTGAATAATGCAGTTTCCAAATTTTATGTATTTCACACAATTCTAGAGTTTGATTTGATTCTGCCATTTAAAAGAAAAAATTGTATCGTCATAGAATAAAGTTTTTAAAAAACTCTCTTAGAAAAACAAGTGTCTTAAAGAACAATGGTCTCAACTACATCCTACTTTAATATTGAAGTATTTTAAGAATGTATATTAATTTAAGAGTAAGCTCCATCCCTGGTATGTTATTTATACTTCCCTCCAAAGGTACCACCTATAGAAGACCTATATTTACTTAGAGGATATATATATATATGTGTGTGTGTGTGTGTGTGTGTGTGTGTGTGTGTGTGTATTAAACACTGCTAGCAAAGTTTAAAAATAGACATTTCTTTATAAAAAGGACCAACCAGTTTACTAATTAACAAAAACATTAGCATAACAGACAGTAAGAAGAAAATCTCTACATTTCTATCCCATGTGAATACCTTGGAGACTATAGTTGCTTTATGAAAATTCCCACAAGAAACATATTACAAAAAGCAATGGTTCCAAACAGGCTTTGTTTGGAATAATGACACCATTAACACTTGGCACTAAGGTTCCAAAATGGAAGTGTGTCTGCATAATGGTCTACTTTATTCTTTATGAAGATCAACACACTAGGTCACTGTGCAGAGGCTGACGTGTTCCAGGAATGATGCCATGTTGAAATGTAGAAAGTTTCACTATAATCCTTGACACAGTCTATATTTTCAGTTGGATTTAAAAAAAAAAAGTTATGCCTTTTACTCTATTTTCTCTTTTCATAAGATTAAAAATTCATGCTCATTTGTTCAGATGGATAAAGGAAGTCAATACTAAAGTTACACCAGTAAATAAGCAAATTATGTTGACAGTATTAATATTAATAATATTATAATATTAATTTTAAATTTATGGCACAATCTAAAGAACATTACTTGAATGAAAAATTCTGCTTATCTTCAAAATATTAACAGAAAAAATTTTAATTCATTGTCCCAAGTGAAGCTAAGTTCTTGAAATTATGCTATGAATATATAACCAATTTGGCATTCCTAAACAGCTCGCCCTTAAATGTTCTGTGTGCCTTTTGTCCACAACCTGCCCTTCACCTGTGTGCCCTATAGATTTTCTAAAGGGTGTTCACTCTAATATTTTGATGTTTGAGCCTTTTGCATGTCTTCCAAGGTGATCTTCCCTTTGTCTTTCACTTTTATTTTCTATGAATGATAAGTAAATTTAAAAAGTATTTACAGCTGAACATGTTGTATATTCCCTGGCCAATGTTTTGAGGAAAACAAAACAAACTATCCAAGGCTTTGCTGGCCAGAGATGTAGCCCCTCTGCCTGACAACCCTCAGTCCTTTACTTTGCACTCTAGTAACCTACAGCCCCCTGATTTGTATTATTAGAGTGTTTTCTATTCTGCTAGGATCAGAAGCTCTGAATTTCTAGCTTTATTGCAATCCCTTAGTTAATTCTTCCACACCTTCTCACCCACTGTGCTGACCAAATCACTTCTGGAGTGACCTCCTTCCTTGTCTTTACCCTCAGCTCAGCTGCAGATCTTGTCTTGCTGGAGTCCACCCTCTGATCCCTGAACCTCTTCAATATTCCTTTCTTTTCCTACTTATCCTTGACACTAATGTCCACTTATTTTGACAATGACTACTCTTTCAGCTAAAAATTTCATAACCAGATGTAAGTATATGAATCAAATGAAGGGACTGTTAAAATTGCAGCAGGCTATCATCTCCAAATATCACATTTCAGAAAGTCACGGAGGGATGATGAGGAATCTGGATTTTCCTATGAAAACACTCCGGGGGTAGAACTCAATCTAACCCCTTTGACCAGTCACAGATTTTAAGTTGGATCCCAGTGTTTAGTGCCAGATTCAAATTTTCTCCAGCTTCTAAAGCTTATCTGTCTTTACCACCTAATTCCTTGACTATTACAATATTTCCCTAGCTCTTTTCCATCCTCCCTCACTTTAGCCTCCTAGTCAGATACAAACTGCATTCATACTCTGATAAAAAGTTTTAATAAAATTAATGTGGGAGGCAACTGGGAGCCGTGTGTTGTTTTACACAACTGAGAGACAAGCTTTCCAAGGTTTCAGGGTCCTCCTCAATGTGTTCCATGACTTTTATTTTGATTTAATTTCTAATTAGTTTTATAATTTGAGAATAAAACACAGTCTTATTCTTATTTTCTCATCATACTATAAAGCCAACTTGTCAGAAATGAGATCACAAGTGACAGAAAGTATGTAATTCACTGCAGCTGCAAAGCTAATCACTTTGACAGTAGGCTGAGGACACGGGTGCTATATTCTTTCCCTTCTACAACCTGAAGGCAGAAGGACTGTGGTCCTCATTACCTGCCTGGAGG